ATTTTTTTGAGATATGGTGTTATTTCCTGCTTCATGGATTTATAGAATATTGCGGTGAACCCATCCGGCCCTGGTGCTTTGCTAGGATCAAGATCTCTGATTGCATCTTCTATTTCCTGGGATGTAATTTTCTTATTTAATCCTTCCCTTTGTTCTTCTGTTAGTTTTTCCAGATTTAGACTTCCTAGGTATCGGGTTATCTTTTCTTCATTTATTTCTTCTTTGGTATATAATCTCGTAAAGAAGCTTAGAAATTCTTCCTGGATTTCCCTGTCCGTGGTTAGTAAATTCTCACCTTTTTTTATCTTTGTTATGAATGTTGATTGTTTCTTTCTCCTTATCTTCCTAGCTAGCCATTTGCCGGGCTTACCTGCATTCTTGAAATCTTGCTGTTTTATATATTTGTACTTTTTTGCTAGATTTTCCAGGTCTAGATGATGTTTTTTCTTCTTCAGCCTATTCAGTGTTTCCGTTATCGAGTCGTTCTCCGGATTCTTCTTTAGGGCTTGTTCGTTTTCTTCTATTTGTTTCTCTATCTCTTTTTCTTCCCTATTTCTTTTTTTGTTCTTTATGGCATTTTGTTGTATCAGATTACCTCTCATAACTGCCTTTAGGGTATCCCACACTATCTGGGGCGTGACATCTTCTGTGTCATTTGTGCTGAAAAAGTCCTTAATTAGTTCTTTATTTTTTAGGATGCCCTCTTCTGATTTTAACAAGTTCTCATTAATCCGCCATTTTCTATTCTGTGCCTCTTTATTTAATACCATTACCATCGGGCAGTGATCTGACCCTTCCCTTGCCAATATTTTAATTTTTTGTATCTTTGATGCAATTGAGTTTGATAGCCAAATCATATCTATGTCCATGTTTTGTGGCGGTGTGAATAGAATGTATAATCTTTTCCTTTAGGATAGCAATGTCTCCATGCATCCTGGAGGTCAAATTCCTCTTTGAGTGTCAAGAAACTTTTGGGTAGAGGGGCTTTATCTACTCTAGTTTGACTTTTTTTGTTGTACTTTTGCCTAGATTTTTGTCGAGGACTCCATTAAAGTGCCCTAGTAAGATTAGGTTATCGTATTCTATTTTCTGTATGTTTTCCCTCAAAAAGTCTATAAACTTTGTTTTTGGCCCGTTCGGGGCATATATGTTACAAATAAGTGTTTTCTTTCTCTCAATGTTGATCATTACTGCTACCTTCGTAAGCCGGATGGAGGTATAGGGTGGCGACCTGTGCTCGACGGGGTTGCACTACCCCTGAAGTCACAGGTCCGCAGCTTGGGTGTCCTCCTAGAATCCTAGAGTTGGAAGAGACCTCATGGGCCATCCAGTCCAACCCCATTCTGTCAAGAAGCAGGAATATTTCATTCAAAGCACCCCAACAGATGGCCATCCAGCCTCTGTTTAAAAGCTTCCAAAAAGCAGGCTCTTCCGCTGCACCTTTGGTGAGTAGGTACACAACATGACACTACTGCTCCCCTCAATGTTTCTGTCACTGGAGTACATGTCTCTCCCCCCCCCCATGGGAAAGCTTGGTTCCTCAATCCTGTTCCTATGAGCTCCCTCTTGCAAATAACCTGCTCCACTTTTTATCTCACCCGAGTTTGAGGATCTTAATCTCAAATTCCAATATAAAAGCTACATATTAAAATACTTGGAAGACGATTGTCCTGCTTCTTGGGAGAATGGGGTTGGACTGGAGGGCCCACCAGGTCTTTTCCAACTCCAGGATTCTAGGATTACATTTTGTGATCCTTAAAAGTTGGTCAATTCCTTGATTCCTTGACAGCAGGGGTCCTCAAACTTTTTTAAACAGAGGACCAGGTCACAGTCCCTCAAACTGTTGGAGGGCCGGATTATAATTCGGAAAAAAAACCCATGAATTCCTATGCACACTGCACGTATCTTATTTTTAGTGCACATACACACACACACACACACACACACACATGCAATACAATACAATACAATAATTAAAATGAACAACAATTTTAACAAATATAGTATTTCAATGGGAAGTGTGGGCCTGCTTTTGGATGATGAGATAGGATTATTGTTGTTGTGTGCTTTCAAGTCATTTCAGACTTAGGTTGACCCTGAGCGAGGGCCGGGTAAATGACCTTGGAGGGCCGTATCCGTCCCCCGGGCCTTAGTTTGAGGACCCCTGCTTTAGAGCATAGATTGAATTGAGTTGAAGTTCATCAAAAACCGTTCTCTTATCTAAATCCCACTTCCCAGGACTTTCCCCCTTTCAGGCTGTTTTGCATATGCTTATTTGGGCATTGTTGAGGTGGCTTCTATGGGAGGATCACTCAGAGCAGATGCCCTTTCTTCCCAGGTTGGGATTTAGTGCGTTGGTCACTGCAAAGACATTCCTAGGAAGGACCCTGGGTGGAACGCCTGTGTTTCTCGAGCTCTCCTTCAGAGGTTGCGAGGTTTGTTGGAAACTGGGATATTGGGTTTATATATCTGTGGAAGGTCCAGGGTGGGAGAAAGAACTCTTGTCTGTTGGAGCCAGGTGTGAATGTTTCAATTGGCCACCTTGATTTATCAAACCTCACAACCTCTGAGGAAGCCTGCCACAGATGGAGGCGAAACGTCAGGAGAAATGCTTCTATAACATGGCCATATATAATGGGTCAATCCCAACCGCTGGCACCAGGCTGAAGTAGTGTGAACTGGAACAAAACGTTTATTAAACAATCTTGAAAATATTCAGGTACAGATGCGTGATGGTTTCATAAAATAGTACGGTGCCTGAATTATAGGTTCCAGTCACAACTTTTAAACTGGGAATTTCAATATTCCCCTAAAACAGATTCTCCTCTACAAACAGCCCAATCCTTCGGGGTCTGTCTAGCAATAGTTCTTCCTAGAAGCAACTATTATTTATTTATTTATTTATTTACTATTCTTGTATACCGCTGTATCTCAAGCCCGAGGGCGACTCACAGCGGTTTCCAAACAGCAAAGACAGTAAAAACAGCAATAATTAATATACAGTAACAGTTAAATTACACATTTCCCTTAATAACTAATAAGCAATCATCAATACACAGGTATCACAATCCCATCCCCGATCGCCTCATCATCCAAGCGTGATCCAAATTCGTCGTCCATTGTTCCGTTCCTATGTTCAAATTACCAAAATTGCACTGAATTACTCAAACGCCTGCACAAACATCCAGGTCTTCAACTTTCTATGGAATGTCATGAGAGATGGTGCCAGCCTAACGTCTACAGGAAGGGCGTTCCACAGCCGAGGAGCCACCACCGAGAAGGCCCTATCTCTCGTCCCCGCCAACCGTGCTTGAGAGGCTGGCGGGATCGAGAGCAGGGCCTCCCCGGAAGATCTCAAAGTCCGGGTGGGTTCATAGGCCGAGATGCGGTCAGATAGGTATCTTGGGCCGGAACCGTTTAGGGCTTTATAGGCCAATACCAACACCTTGAATTGGGCCCGGTAGCAAATCGGCAGCCAGTGGAGCTGGCGCAACAGGGGGGTTGTGTGCTCCCTGCGCTCCGCTCCTGTTAGAATCATGGCTGCCGCGCGTTGGACTAATTGCAGCTTCCGGGCCATCTTCAGGGGCAGCCCCACGTAGAGAGCGTTGCAGTAGTCTAGGCGGGATGTGACAAGAGCGTGGACTACCGTGGCCAAGTCAGACTTCCCAAGGTACGGGCGCAGCTGGCGCACGAGCCTGAGCTGTGCAAATGCTCCCCTGGTCACCGCTGAGACCTGGGGCTCCAGGCTCAGCGACGAATCCAGGGTCACACCCAAGCTGCGAACCTGTGTTTTCTATACCAAGTTGGACTTCCTTCTATTCCTCACGGCTATTTCTCTGAACTTCAACTATCAACTCCTAACTGCCAACTCTCCCACTCCCAACTCAAGCCTCAGAATTTTCAAAACGCCCTCTTTTTCCTGTCAGCTCACTTAGGCTCCGCCCCATTTCTCTAAACCAATCCCAGCCATTCCCTACTGGCTTCGTGACTAGAACACGCCCCCCTCTATGAAACTACTCTTAAGATGGCGTCTCCCTACTCTAAAATGGCCGCCGAGGCTTCGCCATGCCCACATCCTATCTGTTTAAAGCTTTCAGGCTTCTCTAGGCCCTGCATCCTGGCTGCTAAAAGGTAAGGGTTCTTTACAACATGCACCCGAAAAACCTACAACACCCCATCTAATTTGGGATGCTCAGAAAGCAGACCTGGGACTCCTGATGGGAAGGGAGGCAGCACAGCCATCTTGGTGTCCCTTCTTAGCATTGAGCCCATTCCTGGTCATTCAGGGACACGCATGATCCAGCGAAAGGTGCCCTTGAGTCTTGCCAAGGACCGCTCCTTTCTCCCGGCCTGCCTGCCTCCCATTCCTTTCCCACATTTCTGTTCATCCTAATAAAATAAATATGATGCTCCAGAATTAGGATTTCCCCATTTTTCCTTCTCTCGTTCATTTTTGTCTTCCTCCATCCCTCTCTTCTTCTGAATCCATTCCCTTCTTTTCAAAGAACCATTGATTCCCACGGCTGGTCTCTGGATATGTGCGTGAGGCCCCAGTGTCGGCCCTTCTTGGTATTCCCATTCTCAACGTGACCCATGAAGGGGAAGGGGGAAATCTTGGAGGTAGAGAAGGTCTCTGGCTTCCATCCTTGATCTTTCTCTTCTTTCTTCACCAGGGAAGTGAGGACTCTTTGGAGCGACCTCTTGGATGCAGTAAGGAAACCAATAATACAGGGAGAAGAAACCCTCTCGAGGCGATGATCTTGCTGAATTCTTGACTTCACTTACAGAGAACAAAGGAATAAAGAAGAGTCAAGTCTCTGTATTGGAATTAAACACCCGTATCATTCTTGACATGGAGGAGAAAGCGTCTAAATGCCTGGAGTGTGGAA